ACCCTATATAACCGTCATAAACATCGTTGTTGCTGAACCCTTTATCACGTGACTTAACCGACCTGCTTTCGTTGACCAAGTAACTGAAGCCTTAATCACCCACCAGCCAAATCTAACACACCTCTTTCGTAAGGTTACTTACCGCAGGTTACGCGAGTTTTTGGATAGTGGAGCGACTGAGTCGCAGTTATCCCGACCATAACAATGTAAATATTGTAATCACAAACTAACATAAAATCTATTTATCGCACCAAATTCATTAATAGTAACTTACTAAATGTACGATTTTTTACATATGGTCCCGTCGCCACAATTTCTAACATTAACTTGCCAAATTAAATTTAAATTTAAGAGGAAAAATCGTGAACCTTTTGAGCGCCAATGTTTTTAAAAAAACCTAGGATTCAATTTATTTTTATTTTTTTGTTTCTATTTATTTTTACTTTTTTGATTCTATCTGTGACCTTTTATTTCATTAAAAATGATTACTTTCAAGAATCTGATAATTCTAATGATTTGACGATCAATAAAGAAAAGTATTTAACCTACCTTCCCCATAGTGGTTTCAATAATCAAAGAATTGGATTAGAAAATGCAATATTTTTGGCATGGTTTTTAAACAGAACTCTAATAATACCACCTATCCTTCTTTTCGAAGGAGATGCAACATTTTTTTGGCAGCGATATGATAAATTATATAATTTTTTGTCACAAAATATACTTCCTAACAGAAATCAATTTAAATTTAAATTATGTTCAAAAAACAGCACAGAATGTGTTCAAGCTTTTGGTTTAAGTTTTCGAATAGCTCCAAATAATAGTTCAATAGTAACTTATACCATGTATAATTGGGACGAATTATTAGATTTTACATTTTTAAACAATTATATTAAATACATTAATCGTCAAGATTTTAATTACGAACATTTATTGAAATCACTTCACATTTATGATAGTTCAGAGGTGTATAACTTAACTAAAGACGAAAACCGATATCAACAACGTTATTATGATGACATTACATCAACGATTGAACTCAATAATTTTAAAGAACGAGTGAATTTAATCGACTTAAAACAAAGATCAGAAAAATTATTACATTTTGCAAGTGTGTTTTCAAGTCATAGAATTGTTCGACAATTACCTGAAAGTGAAAATTTTTGGAATATGCTTATAAAAAAAACGTTACCGAACAATCCTACTTTAATTAATATTACGGAAAAAATTGTTGACAAAATTAGAGGAACAAATAATTTTATTGGTGTACATTCAAGATTAAAAGATAATTCCTTTCTCAAGAGTCAAAATAATACAGTACAAAGTTTCATTAAAGGAATTGAAAAAGATTTTGAAGGTGACGTTTGTTTAAAGACAAATATATTTCTGGCAACAGATATAAAACGAGATCATATTGCCCTTCAACCATTGTTTCAAAATTTCTCATCATGTATCTACATGCTAGATGATTTTAATGATCTTTTAGAACCTTTAAAATTTTTAAAAAAACCTAGAGATGGTATGATCATGTATGAATTCTTTGTAACGTTAATAGATTTACTAGTAGTGTCAAAAGGTAATAAGGTCTATGGAACAGAAGGTAGCACCTTTTCAAGTTATGCCAAACAATTACATAACGCATGGATTAGATAATTAAATGATAATTATAAAATCTGTGCTAAAATACATATGTGTTGAATTATTATGATTCAACAATCATAATTATTTTTCTGTTGTATGGTTAATTTTTTGATAGTAATTTTTGATATTGATATATAGCTTCTAACTTTTGATAAATTACACTTTTATTATTGTTCCACGTCATTTTTAAATTTAAGTCGTTTCGAAATTTACGTCAATTATGAATTTAAAAATGACGCATGTTACTTTACAACCGTTGAAATCGGTAAAAATTTTAAATATTACAATTTTAAATATGCACTTTTTAGATTGCTTAAATTAAATTTTTTAATAATAATAATAATAAATAAATAAATAAAAAGATATATTTTTACACTAATCGCGTAAAACATACCCACATATTCTTGTACATGGAAAATTGTTTCTTCGATAAGAACTGGTTTTAATGTTAGTTTTTGCACAATGACAGCAATTATGTCAATTTTCTCGAGTCTCTTCTCTCGGGATGGCTTTTTTTTGGCAAAAAAAAAGACATTTCGGCTAAAGAGTTGTCAAATCGTTGATACTTTATTATACAATATTAAATCAAAATTAAACTGCTTATAATGACAATTTATTTATAAACACTGTATTTATTAAAAAAAATTAATATTTTACTTGTATATAGTTTAGAAAACCTTCGGAAACTATTGGATGAATTGGTGAACCTTTTTCGATAGCTCATCTTATAATACGAACTTTACATTCTCAAATTGCATCACATGCTGTGAAATATAACTATTGTGAAACCGGAAACGTGACCTGAACGCAGGCACGTGCCCGGGAATTCCCAATTTGGATTTACCGGGGGAATTCCAAGAATTTCAGGAATTCCCTGAATTCGGGTAAATCGGAAAAATCGGATGATTTTTAGAATACGAACTATAAGGAGAAAAGAGGGAATGAGGCGAATATCAACAACTACAACAATAAGGGTAATTCTAGTTATATGGTGCATTCTACATGTAAAAATAGATAGTGAATTAATTATAAATAAAGACCTTTTGGCCCTCCGGAAACAGTAGTTCCCATTTTTCCTAAATAATAAAACACCTAAGTCACACTACATACATTCGTCCAAATCTAACACGCCTCTTTCGACTCAACGTAACCTAAACTTTGGTTACACGAAGCCACTTTTGACCAAGCGACAGACTCGCCGAATTTCAGTTCTGACACTGTATCTTACACAAGTTTTTACAATTTTTATTTTGGCCTTCACGTTCAGCCGTTTGGTGCGTGATGAAAATTATTTTATAAAAGTTTTCAACCGGTCAAATTTGTGTCTCTAAATTATTGCCATTAAACGAAGCCCTTCAGTTGTACCGATATAAAGAATTTTTTTTTTTTTTTTTTTTTTTTTTTTTTCTCCCGTGCTACCGCAGTCGGGATCGTCATGAGACGCTATTTATTAGACTATATATGGTTATTTAGATAAAACAATTACGTTATTGTTTAAACGATACATCATTTATAAGTTAGAGTGAGTGACGTGATGATCTATTACTAAATGTAGGCTACTATCCATTTTATGTAAAATTTGCTTCTCTTTTAACAAGCGATCTTTCAAAATAAAGGGTAAGATTGAATCATTTAACTAGTTTCCTCCCCATTTCGTATTGGTATAGCAGCACCACACTTCATAGATTATGGTTATGTGGAGCCATATCCCAAGTGCATGGTTTTGAGAGGGTTTTGCCTTATTCGCTGTTATTATCTCTTCCAATGTGGAAGGTAAGTTATCTTGCGGGATTCTAAGTATTCTGTAGGCAGTCTCCCAGATGATTTTACTGACGCGGCATTCTAGTGCAAAGTGCATTAGATTTTGCTCTTTGTCCGGGCACCAAGGGCAGGTACTGTCGATTGCCGAGGAAAGGTGTATGAGTCTTTTGCCAATCAGGAGGGCATTGTGAATCAAGCGCCAGAAAATATCTTTTTTCTTGTTTGGCACCCATTTTATCTTTGACCAGGCCCAGTTTTCGTCTCTTTTGTTTTCACTAAAAATGTTTGCTTGTGAGAGTGTTTGTTTTATCGATGTCTGTCTTAAGTATTCTGTTGCCTTAGCAACTGTAAATTCAGTCCCTTTCATTTTCATTATTTCTAATGTTTCTGCTGTCCAAGGCCAGTTTCCTGCCGTAGCCGGAATTTTTCCCTGAAGCCTTTTCCATGCATTTAGAAAAGGCTTCCATTCGCATGGCCAGGCTTTGAGCCTTATATTGGGTTCTGACAATACTGCCAACACTGTTTTTTTTCGTCTGGTGAGAAGTTTATTTTCAATTCGCTTCCTTTCTACTTCTGCCCATAAATTGGAACTTGATAGTAACTTGATCCAAGTTGAAGCAAGCCTTGCATCGATCATATCTGCAAGTACTGGTGCTTTAAGTCCATTTAATTTTTGCGATTGTTGGAAGATGGCATAACGTGGTAAGATCTTTGCATTATTCTTTATCCAGTTTGTTATTACCTCGTTAATTTTATTGAGTTGTTTTCTTGAGGGAGGTAAAATGTTTGCCGCATACCAGATTTTGGCTAGTAGTATTGACTTTGCCACTAGAATTCTGCCTTTAAAAGAAAGGAACCTATTGTTCATTGCGGCTACAGTGTCTTTGATTTTTTGGGTCATGTTCTTCCATAGATTCTTTTCTGGAAGTCCTTTTGTATTAATGTAAAAGCCGAGAATCTTGATTGAGTCATTTTCTTCCAATTTATGAAAGTTCTCTTCTCCCATTAAACTTATGTTCGCTGCATTTCTTGAAAGGGGAACTAGTTTTGACTTCGTTTTGTTTATTGATGCATTGGATGCTAGTTCGTATTTTCTTAGTAAGGCCATTAAAGTATCCCAGTCGTTTTGGGAGCCAAGGCCAACTGTTAGGTCATCGGCGTAGGCTGCTGCTTTGAAGTTTGAGTTTTCCATTCTTATTCCAGTGATGTCATGTTTTATTGCTCTTAATAGAGGTTCAAAAGCAATGATATACAAAAGGGGAGAGAGTGGGTCACCTTGTCTTACGCCTTTTTCAATACGAAATGAGGTGGACAGATAACCTGCGTCATAGATATGTGCAGTTTGATTAGAGAATAATTTGCTGATTAAATTTGTAAATGGTTCTTCGAATTCCATCTTCCTAGGACTAGTTGCAGAAATTCATGATTTATACAATCGAATGCTTTCTTCTGGTCAAGAAAGAGAAGCCAAGCTTGCTTTTCTGTATTTGAGTGGTACCTCATAGTTGTGACTATGTCTAGAGCTACGTCGACTATTGATCTACCCGCAATGAACCCTTGTTGATGTGTTCTGATAATTTCTGCACAAATTGTATTTAGTCTTGTTGCTAAAATCTTCATAAAGATCTTGGCGTCACTATTCACTAATGAGATTGGTCTCCAGTTATCTATCTCAGTGAGGGAGTCTGTCTTTTTTGGGATTAGTATGATCATACTTTTATACCAAGAAGTTGGAACAAACCCTGTTGTAAGAACCTTATTAAATAGCTTTTCTAGGATTTTTGCTATTTCGCTTGAAAAGGTTTTATAAAATTTGTATGTTAGGCCGTCTTGACCTGGAGATTTATTGTTTGGCAGTTCTTTTATAATATTTTCTATTTCTTGTGAGGTAATTTCATTTAACAGGAGTTTATTCTGACCATGTGACGTTTTTGGTAAGTTTTCCGTTAATGTTTCAGCCAGAGTTATATCGATTGGGTCTTTTCGAGAGAGAGATTCATAATGGTTTCTGATATAGTTTAGCACCTTGAGAGGGTCTTCATCGTTAGGTGACAGTGAGTCTCTTATTTTTTCGATTGCACTATTTGTCTTCTTAGATTTATAATTGTTAAAAAAATATTTTGTCGATTTTTCCCCCATTTCTATCCATTTGGCTTTGGATCTGATGTGCCAGTTGGATGTCTGAATTGAGAGTTCATTTTGAAGTTCTGCATTAAGACGATCTATAACGATGTTAAGATCAGTTAGATTGGGGTTCTTAGCTAGTTTGTTATTTAGCTCTGTAATCTTTTTGTGTATTCTTTTTATACGGGTATCTGGTTTTGGAGGTGGTTTAAAAGCTCGTATTATCGATTGTATTCTGATTTTGTGATGATCCCACTTCATGACGTTGTTTATACTTTTTAATTCCTCCTCAATTTCCTTTATTATTTTAGGGTTATTAAGGTTCCTTGCATTTACTTTCCATACAGCTGGTTTCGCTCTACTGGTATTGTATTCTAATTCGCATGATACTAGCTGATGATCAGAGTTCCCGTGATGTGTTTCTGCTTTTTTATAAAAGAGGGCATGTTCGTTGTCAATAAAGATATAATCTAATCTTGTCGCCATTATTTGGTGGTTTCTTACTCTTTGATAATAGGTAATAAACTGTTGATTACAGTCAGCTATATCAGTAAATCCTGCCATAATTTGTTTTAATTTTTCCCTTGACGGATCATTGTGTAGTGGGGACTGACTTATTCTATTATTTACTGGATCTAGGTTTACGTTGAAGTCTCCTGCCACTATATTGATTGCATTGTGTTTTAGAACTGGAGACCACTGGTTGAAAAAAGTTAATCGGTCACCCGAGTTTGGTGGTGTGTATATGTTGGTAATTTGGAAGGATGTTTGGTTAAATATGAAGTCTGCGATAATTACTCTTCCATTTAAAGATTCTTGAATATTTTCCAACTTGATTTTTTTGTTTCCAGCTAAAATTGCCGCTTTTGATGTCCAATATGAATCATAGTACCATAATTGTTTGAGAAAATTCTGTAAGTTTTGTTCACTTGAGTTTGTTTCTTGAATAACTATTATATCAAATTTGTAACTTTTTAATAAAGTAAATGTTTCTTGACTCTTAATTTTATTGTTGAGACCTTTAACATTTAAGGTCGCTATTTTTATGATAGATTTTTTGGTCATTTGATTGATTAATGTTTTTTTGATGTTGGTTTCTTCTGATAAGGACTTGGTCTGTTTGCTTCTGCTGTTGTAATTTTGAGTTTCTTCTTTTTCTTATGTGTTACTGGAGTAAAACCCTCTAAGTCGTCATTTGTGATTGCATCAACTGGCATTGGGATGTTTTGGCATTCTTCCTCCATCATTGATATAAGCGTTTTATCTTTATCAGCGGATTCTTCTAGTAGATCCATTTCTAACAGAGAATCTGACACTGCTGCTCCGTTCACTAGAGTGAGTTGTTCCTTGTCTGATAATTCCGTAGTTGAGCTATCCATAGTTGTTGTCTTGCTTGTGCTAGCTTCGACCATGTCTGGTGATGGAGATAGTATGAATTCGCAGACAGTTGTGTCCTTTTCAGCATCTGATTTTCCCTTATTATTATTAGGCTTTGTTAAAAGTAAGCCGAGCAAGGAGGTTGGTATCTCTTTATTTTTCCTTAAAGATTCTTTGTATTCTTTGTAGTGTTAATTAAGCTTTATTGTTTCTTTTCGCTGGTCACAATCTTTTTTTAAGTGTCCAAATTTGTCGCAAAAGAAACATAACTTTGGTGTCTCTTTCCACTCCGTTGTCACCTTCTGATCCGAAATGCAGACAAATCTGGGGATTCTTTCTTGAAGTTTCGTGTCATTTGTTATTTCAAATGTTATCAACCACTGGTCTGTTAAGATTGGGGTACCTTCATATAGCAGTGGCTTGATTGAGGTAATATCTCCTATGTTCTTGAACACTTCTCTTATCTCCTCTGAGATAATTTCTTTTTTTGTTATAGGCACATTTCGCAACTTAATTGTGA